GCATACTTTTAGTCAATTAAAAATATAAGTAAACAACCAAAGCCCTTTCTAGACAAGTTTGTGTGTTTAAATTCGGGAAATATATATTTTGAAAATTCTTTTAAAATTATATTACAAAATAAAAATTGTGGCTTCTAAAGAAAAATCGAACCGGCTTTTTTTTGGGACAAATTTGTTTCGTTTTATTCCATTTAAAGTTTGTTTTGAAATCAATATTTGTTTTTTATGTGGTAGGTTTTTCTCTTCAAACTTTATCTGTGGTAATGATATTGAATTTGATTTACTTAATTAAGATAACTATTTTATCCAGGGACAATTCAGCTAATTAAAAGTATTCCGAAAAGGTTAAAGATTTTCTACCCTTCCTAGGGGATAATCATATGGAATCTTGTTCCAAAAATTTAATAAAAGAATGGAATAATCTATGTCTAATTTACTTAATTCAATAAAAATTATTTAATCTCAAGATTCATTGAACTTTATATTAATTCAATCACTCGATCATTAACATATCATATTCTTTCTTTTGTTTTCTTTTTCCTTCTCAATAATTAATGGGAAGAGACTATTCATAACTAATAGTCAATATTCATGTGCACTGCACCTCGTTCTAATATATAAAGTTAGTTATTTATTTAATACAAAGAAACAAATTTATAAAACATGGATATATATATATATATATATAACAAGAATGAGAATAAAGAAAATCCAATTCAAATGAAAAACTATAGAATTAAAATTAAAATTCTATTATATTATCACATCAAATCAAACTATTTTGGAATTGAAATAAAAGATAGATGTATTACCATTGATTTTATTTACTAAGATTTGAAATGAGAATCATTTTAATTAAAGAGAGATTTATCAGTTAACTGATTATGATAAAAAAAATATTAAAAGTTCAAATTCCTATCCGCATTGTTGTTAAACTCGATTGGACACATTTTTTAAAGGGATCTAATTATCTTGCCTCAAGGATCATCAAACCTTGATAAAGAGCGACTTTAAGACAATAACAGTTATTGGAGGTTCTATATACATACATATGCATATGTAAATCTATAATTACTATATATTTAGCACAGACCACTCTTTACCCAGACTTGCAGATCCAATGCCTTTAAAAGAATAGCAACATGATAAAAAGGCTGCTCTCAACAACCAAGGAACTTCAGTAGTTTGACAATCAAAAAGAGCTATATAAATGAGCAGGAATTAGTTCATCCAAAAATGATTCATTTCTAAAAGTGAACAAAGTATCTGAAGTGGAGAAAGGTGAAAGAAAGAAGAGAGCGTTGCTGACATGTACTCTGAACCTGTGAAAATGTTAGCCAGATATACAATCTGGGAAAAGTTTTGAAAAGCTAATTCCAAAACAAAACTGGTCATTCAGATTTCATTATATTCAAGCAAAAGAAAAGAGAAAAAAAAGAGCACCTAAACATTCTATAACCCAGAAGTTCTGTCCTACATGACTTTCTCATTCTTGAGCCTCGCTTAGCAACTGCACAAGCTCGCTCTTCCTTATCTTCGAGAACCGTTTCAAACCGCGTGATTTGGCAATTGCCCTCAGTTCAGCTAGCTTCAACGAGTTCAAGTCCTCGTGCTTTTCAAAATTTTCATTGTCTTTAACATCGTCATCAAATGTATCATTGACATCTGAAGACACAGTTAATAAATTAACCAGTTCAGGCTCCATCTCATCAGGTTCATGCTCTAGCTCATATGATTCAGGCTCTGGCTCCAACTCAAACTCTGGGTCTGGGTCTGGCCCTGGCCCTGTCTCCCTTTGCGGTTGCAGCTCTTTCCACGACTCTCGTTTTGACTCTTCCCGTGCCCAAACCTTCGACTTCATCTCAGAACCTGTCTCGATTCCATTGAATTTCAACCCCCTTGAATTCACACCAGCAGTGGACTCAACAATACTGTCCTCCCCAGGGTAAATTGGTTGGTATTTCACCCGAGGCACGGGGGATTTACGTTGAAAATTTGATATGGGTCTACTGAAAGAAGATCTGGTTGGTTCTTGTGTCTTCTCTCTCAGGTTTGCACTTAAGCCAAAAATGCTTGTGCCTTTGCCTTCATCGTATGGATCATTCTCTTTAACTTGGTTGAAACTGAAATCCTTGCCCCCACTGCTGCTGCTACCACTGCTTCTCTTTCCTTGCTCAACCGAATGCTTTCTCAATAGCTTAAGAAGAGAATCCACAGTTTCACTCCCTTTCGTGTGCCCTTGTGCTTCCATTTTCTTTTCTTCTTTCATTGCAGCTCGCTCCCGTAGCTGAGCTTGAACCTCCCTGAAAAGTTCAACAATTTCTTTCTCCCTTGGGCCTGGGGTGGCAGTGGCTTGGGATTTAGGGGTACTACTAGAAAGGGAGAGTAATGGTCCATTCTTAGATGATAATAAATCGGATTCTTCAAGATTTTCAAGGCCATCTCTCTCCTCATTTTGCCTATTTCTGCCTCTAGAAAAGCCATGCCTATTCTGCTTAGAGAAATCTGGGTTTCTCCTGTGACCGCCCGAGGTTGCATTGCACGTAAAAGAAGCCCCCAATGAAGTACAGTTTAGGGTTGGGAATTTGACCTGTGCATTAATTCTATGTTCAACATATAAAGAGCGAGAAGAGACTGGGGCCGCTCGTCCTGAAACTCCAGAGCATGGTACGCATCTGCCATCTGACAGTCCAAAACCTATATCAAAACAATATTCCATATTTATAAAAAATAATCAAATTTCCAGCTTGAGTAGTAACAATATAAGGCAAACTAGAGCAGACTTCACAGGGGCAGAGTATCCAAGTCCAAAAAAAAAGTCATTCCACTAATATACTGAAATGTCTTAATCACTGCAAAAACAGAGCAGATTTATGCTCAAGCCTCTCTTTACTTAATCACTCTTTTTTTAATCTTCAATGTGAATTTGGGTGTAAATTTTGAGAAAAAACAAATAATGGCCTAATTTTTATGATAAATTGAAACCAGTCTGCAACAACCGTCTACAGGAAAAATAGCAGTTAAGCAATCATAAAGAGGATAACAGTTGTTGCCATCCATCAGCTATGACAAACAAGCTTCTATTGAACAAAATATCAAGAAAACCAATAATGAAGAATTAGCTCAGCTACAGAAAAATGACAGCCTCACTGCTGTTATCTTCATTGCACGACCAATTTATAACTGCAATCAGAAACCTGTGCATGAAAATGAATGGACAAAAACATGGGGAAGCAACAATTACGACCAGTTGCTGTAGGAAAAGGGTGTTGAGACAACAACTTAATGGTCACAGGCTATAACTAACTTTCATGATTCAGGCGTATATAAACCGCCTTATGTTTCTACAACCAGATCGTGCGATTGCAAACCATGCTGTCTGCTAACGTTTGAACATCAATAATGCATCAATAGCAGTCAGCAAGAAAGAAACATTATCATCTTTAAGGGCGACTAGAATGTAGTTGCCAATCACTTCCTGCTATAGAGGGGACTGGGGGAGATATGTTAACAAGATTATGGAAACAGTGCATCAACGTAATGCAAGGTGAAGCCATAATAAAGACCAAAAATTGAAACAGGTCATATAATGGTGATATGGGAAAACAATATAGATTTCAAAACTGTCAAACTCAATGTCAAAACTCACAGTCATAGCGACCAGAAAAGATGCAAAAAAAAGCTAAGATTAAGAGAGAAAGAAGAGTCAGGTCTGCTACAAGATATTGAATTAGTAATGTGAAACAAAATAATTTGAAGAAAACTGAGGGAACCTTCCTCCACAAACTGAGGAGGGAAACACATCTATCTACTTCAATTAGGAGAGCCGAGAACTTCGAGCAGAAACCAGCCAATGGGACAAGTAATCCGACAAAGTATGGGATTTTCAAGCAAGCAATAAGTGGTATTAAGCAATATAAAACTGAACTTGGAAAGTGAAAATGGAGAGAAACAGGGCAACGTGGGCAACAGAAAACGTCAAAAAAAATTCAAATGCAAAGCTTTAACTTCTCCATTACCATAATCAACCAAGCAGGAAAGGAAACAAAAAGAGAACATATACAAAAGCAAGAGGCGTGAAAGACTATTACCCAATGTGCTAACCCGTCCCACGACCCAGAAAAAGAACTAGGCAAATTGAAGTTGAAATTTCAATTCACCAAGCTGCAAATGTTCGATGCTCAAATAGACTGAATTAGCAGAAGAAAGCCCACGAAACTCGAAGGCAATTCGAGACACCCAAGAAATGCAAAGACGCTAGTACTTAATTCCACAGCTTTCAAGCAAAGAAAACACGGTAATAGAGAGAAACCAAGAAAGATTTTTAAGAAATATAAAGAACAGATACCTGTAACGTTGTTAGGAAGTAGATATGTGGCTTGAGACATTGCTGGGTTCATGGAGGTAGAAGGGAAGGTTTTAGTGAGGCAAAGAAAGGTTTTGGTGTCGCATTTCTATGAGGATTTTTCGTCTTTCCGCTTCGTTCTTCGCCCTGATGGCGCTGATAATAAAAGGGAGAGATTGATTTGGTTTCTGTAATGGCGAGGCGTAGCTTCCTCGGCTGAAGCCAATGTATTTGGGCCACCGTAATTGGGCTTCTCCGACAGTATCTTCCTGGGCCAAGACCAAGATGGGCCCATCTACAAAATATAAACAGATTTTTATTTACTTATTTACTAAAGCACCATCATTTCGATTTGGTTTGATTTTAAACCCTAATTTGTTCAAAGTTTATTACTTTTTTCAACTCTCTATTCTTGTACTTTTGTTCCCATCTCAATATTATCTGTACTTGATCATGTCATATCTTTTCATTTCAATTATTGAAATACTAACTCTAAAACAAAATTAATAAAGTATTAATCACTAATTTGCTAATTGTGTTTTAATAATTATTGATGGCCATAATTGTCAATAGTATCAAAATAATTTTTTTTTAAAGTTGAATAATATGGAATGATAATTTAAACCTGTGATATTTCATTATCAATTTTGTGAGTGGTTTTCATTTTTGATTTTGTGGTTTGATAGCGGTAATTTTAATCTGTTAGTTCATTTTGGATTTCTGTTTTTCCTAAATTAAGATATTACAAATGGTATTGATTTGTTCCTTGTTTGAACTTTTCGTACCATTCTTCCTTTATGTGATATTTATGTAATTAGCTCTTTTTTCATTTTGTATCCATTTCCTTTTTTTTTTTTTTAAGATAAAGAGATGGATAATATTGAAATAAACATTAGTTAATTTTACAAACAGAGTGATTTAACGAGTGTTAACATCAACATTATGGTGCTCCAAAGCTTCTAAACTCTCTCTCATAAATACATACGTCTATAGTTGAATTTCCTATGCGACACCTAATGTAAATTCCACTACAATCTATATCGGATTAGATGGTCCAACTTACTACCACAAAAATGAAATAGAGCCTATGGTAAAAAATAAATATAATTTAATGAAATGAATTAAATAATTTATGAAAATTCCATATAAGAGAGAAATATTTACCTCTTCTTTACATTTACCACTCTTCGAACTTTCTACATCTTGAGACGACGAAGTTTGTGTCATGTCGTAACTATCTTCAACATCATTCTTGGTATAATATTAAAGGATCAAATTAGAAAAATATCTTTAGTAATTCACACAAAATATGTAGATATAGTCATAACGAAAACAAGTGATTTCTTATAAAATGTAATTAAAACAATAGATGATCACAACTGACACCGCTCCAGCAAAATTGATAAAACAGTAAAGCATTTAAAACCTAAATAAATTGACTTAAGAGTATATTGAGTTTAAAACATTTGTACTTACTATGATTCTTTCCGAAGATTTTGAGGATGATAACTATTCCTTGAGGTTCTTTGTTGCCTTTCTTGTCTACTTTGCTTTTTCCAAACAATATAACATTTGTAATACAATCATTCATTAACAAAATTTATGTTGTACAAACATAATATATTATATTAATTATATAATATTGTAAAATAATAATTATACAAACTTTATATCATATATATTAATTAATTAATAATATTTTAAATTGAACTACATATTTAGTAGGTAATACTATTATTTTACTGAATATATTATTGAACACACATTGATCAATTTTTAAATTGAAATTAAATTTTCGAATCTATGGTATTTGAAAACACTAAATATGAAATATAACATGATTTTGATTGAATTTATTATTTTCAGATTTCCATTTCTAAAATGGACAGTTTATTATTTTTAAAAAAATAATTGTTTTTATATTTATCTAGGTTAATGGTCAAGTATTTAACAGTGGAGGGTACAAAATAGAACTTCACCCCAAACTTAACTGTTTCAACCAACAACGTGGGGTAGAAATTTGAAATTTCACCTGTTTGGTGGAAGATAAAAGTGGGCAAATTGGGAAAGAAATGTTTTATGTTGAAATGGATGAGAACCACATCTTTGGAAACCGCCACTTCATCAATGGTTATGAATAAATGAATGAAAAATAATCCGAAAAAGAATCCTAAATTTGGGAGCACACGCACAACCAACGGCTAAGGTGGTTTCCGAAACTCGCAGCCTCTTCTCGTGTAGATGATTGAAGAAAGTTTCGTTTCGATCGAATCAAATCTTAATTTCCAATCTGCCTCTTCTTTTTTTTTTTTTTGTTCTTCATCACAATCGTTGGTTCTGATCGGTTCTAGCTAGCGACCCATCTCTCCGGCCGCCGTGATTCGGTGTTGAAACGGAAAATTAAAAGAATGGTGGCCGAGAGAAATGGGTGGAAGGTTTACGACGAGATGAATATCATGGATGCTGATCGTGATTGGAACCACATTATGAACAAGGATGAGCTCCATCAACACGAAGATCAAGAAGATCCGGTGAGACTCGAGAAATTTTTTTAAAATTCTAGGGTTTTTGTTTTGATGCTAATTACAAATTGATTTGATTTGGTTTGTTGTGAAGGCACAGGAAAAAACAGAAGGAGATGAAGATTTGGAGGCGATGGAAAAGAAGATGAGAAAGAAGAGGAAGAAGAAGGCGTTGTTAGAATTTCGTTGCAGAGTGGAAGATGCAATAATAGGGAATTATCTTCTAGGGAAACCCAAGAGAAACGTTTCTTCGAAAGAAGCAGCGAAAGCAAGAGACGAGCTGAAGGAAATAAGTCTATGGGGAGTGCCATTGTTACCCAGCAAGGGCCACGAGGGGACCGACATCCTACTCCTGAAATTCTTGAAAGCCAAACACTACAAAGTCCACGACGCATTCGAGATGCTGAGGAAGACTCTGAAATGGCGAAAGGAGTTCAAAACAGATGGGATTCTTGAGGAGAAGTTGGGGGGCTGCGATCTTCACAATTTGGTTGGTTTTTTGGATGGGAAGGACAGGGAGGGGCATCCCCTCTGGTTTCACGCTAATGGGGTTCTCAGGGACAAAGAAATGTACCAAAAAACGTTTGGTGCCGAAGATCAGAAGTGCGATGAGGAGTTGTTCTTGAGGTGGATTGTTCAGAATATGGAGAAGGGGATAAAACAGCTCAGCTTTTCCAAAGGAGGGGTCGACTCTATTGTTCAGATTACTGATTTGAAGAACTCCTCTGGACCAGCCATGAAGGAGTTTCGTTGTGTTAGCAAGAAAGCCCTCTTGATCTTACAAGACAACTATCCCGAACTCGTCTATAAAAATGTGAGCATTCTGAACTTCACATTTTTCTCATCCTACAATTCTTGCCCACACTACACTTCCACTGAATAGGAGCTCTTAGGATGATGGTCACGTAAATTTTTCATATCATTTGATAAGATCATGCCTATATATGCGTACGAGACTTTTTTAGATGAAACCGAAAGAAAAGTCATATCATACCAGTGTAGAATTATAGAAATGTCTCAAGATTGTAGATTTGAATCATTGTCTTAAAATGTGTGTGGATATATACTGTGCAGATAATCATAAATGCTCCATTTTGGTACTACGCACGCCACATACTTCGGTCGAAGATTATCACTCCCAAAACCAAGGCCAAGTTCGTGTTTGCCAATCCGTCAAAAGTGACAAAGACCCTTGTCAAGTGAGGCACAGTGAATAATGTTCAACAATTTTATTCACTTAGAATTCTGTTTCTTTTCCTTCAAGTACTAATTAGATTTGATCTCTTAATTATGTGTTGTGTTTTTGTTTGAACCCCAACAAGGTTTATAGCCCCAGAACAGTTGCCAGTAAGATATGGAGGGCTGAAGAGAGAAGACGATGACGACTTCTCACCGGAGGATAAAGCATTGGAGCTCACAATAAGAGGGAACACGGCAGCGACGATCGAGTTTCCGGTTGCAGAAGTAAGTGAAAGTTAACAGAGTTTGAACACAGTCGTAAACGTATTAGCTTAGGTAGATTGTGAATGATATAGAGTTGCTGTTTTGAAGGGTGGAGTGACGATGGTGTGGGACGTGACGGTGGTGGGGTGGGACGTGGTGTACAAGGAAGAGTTCGTGCCAGAAGATGAAGGTTTGTACAGAATAGAGTTGCAGAACCAGAAGAAAGTGGGAGAGAGCGTAAGGAATAGTTTCTACATCAGCGAGCCTGGTAAGATCGTCATCACCATCGAGAACCCAACTTTCAACCACAAGAAGACCGTCTTCTACAGATCCAAAACCAAACCCACTGTACCCATGTACATCTTGTTCAACAAATAGAAATTAAAACCCACATCATCATCATCCATTTCTTAATTTTTGTTTCACTTCTTTTGATCCCATATGTTATATTTTGTAATTAAGCCAGGTACGTTAAATATATTCTTTTGATCACATGGATTCGAAAAGAAAGGAAAGGCCTCGTCTTTTATTATTATTCTTATTCTTATTATCATTATCATTATTGGGAAGCTTTTAAAACCTTAAATTGAAATGAACCCAAAAGCCAAAACCGGCCTTCCCGTAGTTGAGTTCTTTACATGACTCCTCTTTGTCCCGCCGACCTGAACTCACGTGGTGGCACCAAATATCCGTCATCCCTGTTGTTGTATTTCAGCCTCTGGGCCTCCTCTGTGGAGATTCTGTAGGCGCTGGCTATCACCTGAACAGGGAGTGCTCTCAGCGCCGAGTTGCGCCCGGCGAGCGGGGTGACGCTGGCTTGGTCGTTGGTCTTGAATGCCACCCACTCCAGCCCTTCCTCTGCGGCCTTCTTCACCACCACGAAGTTCTGTGGCACCACCAGAATCTGCCGTGGCCGCACCTCGCCGTCGAATATGGTTTGGCCTCTGTCGTCTACTACCTGTATGAAGCCTCTCCCTCCCGTCACGAAGATTATGCTGTGCGCGTTCTGGTTCCAGTGTGGCATGTACATTGCGTTCTGCAGGACACCACCAGACCCCAATTTTTTCAAAACTTTCCATCCAATGTTATATTATATCATGTTGAATTCAATTGAGTACTTACTCTGTAGAGAACACCATACTCGGCGCTGAGCTGGAGCCAGCGGAGGACCGGGAAGCGGAGGCTGTTTGTGGTGCTGAGACGGCCAGCTCCGGCGGTGTAGATGTCGGCGCGTGAAGCATCGCCGATGTTCTCGGCCAGCCTCAAAGAACAGATGGTTTCGTCCAAGCCATTGTCTGAGTATCGGCCGGGGCGTTGGTACTCACGCTCAGCCTCCCGCTCTTCTTCTCCTTCTTGATCTTGCTGCTCTCCTCCACGTGACCTTGGCGGCCTGATCACACGCAGCGGTCCTTCCACCTTAATAATGTTCCGCCTCTGGTCGTCTTCCCCGCGCAGCTTCCTTGCTGTCTCCACCTTTATGTCCAGAATTTGTGCTAGAGTCCTGTCGTCGAAGGCGTGGAAGATGTTGTGCTTGTTGCCGTGTTCACCGCGTCCTCGTTCCTCCGGGTTCGATCTCGGCCTCTGGAATTCCTCCTCTGGATTCCCAGCCAGGTAGAATTCCTGAGCAGGGCATGCATAGGACATGCATTGCATTAGCTATTATTCGCAAAACACTATGGTCTAAACTGAATATCGTAGTGTGATAGGAGGATTGTGAGAGTTACCCTTGGATGTGAGTCAAGTTGGTTGGCGTTGTTACTGACATCAAGAAGAACAGTGGCAACAAGTCTCTCATTGCCATCGTTGAAGGTCCAATGAGTGGCTCCGGCAGGCACCGCGAAGAGTTCGCGGGCGCGTACGTGGCGAATCTTCTGGTGTTGGTCTGGGAACTCCGATTGCTGAGACTCTTGATAAGTTTCAGGGCAGCCCGGAATCACAACGCCCTTGATACCTCTACCTGCTCCCCATCCCACAGCATCATCAGATATCACATTTATTAACAAAACCAAAAAAATGAAGTCTTTATTAAATTGAGGTGTAGTTAATTACCTCTTTCAATATAGATAAGGCGAGGGACATTGGTGTATTGAGGCAAGAGGAGGCCATTGGGCTCAATGATGTATCTCTGGACAGCCACGCCAGCGCACTGCAGCTGCTCGTGGTTGGGGTCCCAGCTCTCGATCACGCCGCCTTCAGCCTGAACACGGTGGGAGGGCTCGATGGGTTCGAGCCGGTCCAAGCGGCACTTGTGGTACCGCTGCTGGCCGTACTGCTGGCTAATGTCAGCGAGGCAGCCGGCTGCGAAGAGGAGGAGAAGAGAGAGCAAAAGTGAGTTCTTCATGGCTAAGAAGAAAGAATGGGAATGGTATTGTGTTGTGGGTGAAGTGGAGAGTGGGGATGGTTAGGATTTTATAGGAAGAAATGGTAGTGAAGGAGGGACACGTTGTGGGGATTGAGATGATGGGGAAGAAAGATTGAGCCATTCTTCAAATTGCATGGCTGCCAATACCTTATTTTTGCACACATCATTTTGGTGTGGCTTTAGGTTTCTGAAAAAATTGTAGGGCAATTTCTGATGTTTTTTTGTCGTCAAATGTTGGGTGTGTCGTTTCTGATGTTTGCATTGTTTGTGTTTTGTGGTTTGTGTTGTGTTTGTTCTCTCCAGCCAGGGAAATGGCCACTTGTAATACAAATATACTCAATATATTCAAAACTTAATTTTATGTTTCCACCTCCACCTCCACCTCCAAGCTTGGATTGTCTGTTATCACAATATTCATCACTGTGTGACATGTATTCTATGTTAGTGATTTTTCTTTTTTATATTTTATAGACTCTTTTGTGAAAGTATAGAAAAATGTCACTTTCACATTTCACTTTTCATGCCGATGTCGAACCTATAAACAACATATCCATAGAAATTTAAAGCCTGTTTGGTAACATTCTCATTTCCTGTATCTTATTCTCATTTATCAATTTGTAGGAAACATACCTGTTTGGTAATCCATTTCATTTCTCGTTTCTAAAGTTTGAGAGATGTTTCCAAGGAAGAGGGCTAAATTTTGGAAACCACAAAAATTAGTTTCGTTTTTGCTGTTTAACTTGTTGTGTAGCTTTGTTGGTGAACGTGTGCGCCTTTTCCTCAAGGTGGTTTGAATCTTACAACTAGCCGATTTTAAATTCTTTCCAGAAATCGGAAATAAAAAGGTTTAGCAAACGTATTCTTGTTTTTAGTTCTAAAAAAATTAGACAAGAAATGAGAGAAAAAAAAACATGGGCCCTTGATATATAACTACCTCAAATTAATCATATTTACCAAATTTTTATATAATTTAATCTTTTTAATTTTATCGGATTGAGTTCTTATACCTATATTCTGATTTGGTTTTTTTTAATAACCAATAGATCCAGTTTGGATTCATATATTTGTTTAGAGAGAGAAATTAAACATCTACTGCAACAAATAATTTTAAAGGTTAAATTTCATGTCATTCTTGAACTATTAACTATATTTAATCTGCTTTAAAATTTACATGATATGTCATAATTTGGTAGCCTGTAGGTTGGATTGGGAGGTTGGTTATGTAAATTAATTAAGAACCAAAAGTAATGTATAATTGTACTAAAAAAAAGTTTTATGTAAAATTTAACCTAAAAATATATATTTTCAAATGTAATTTTGCGTTACCTCTTATATATTTGGAAAAAATATATTTTTGGTCTCTCAAATTTGAGTTAGGTGTCTAATTAGTCATTGAAGTTTCAAACGCTGCACTTTTAGTTTCTCAAATTTGATAAATAAATTTAAATGGTCCCTAAACTCATTTGACCGCTAATTGACTAACGGAAATATGACGTGGTAATTGTTAGTCCAAATAAATTTGTTGACTTGGCTAATTATATATATGTATATATATATTTTTTAGAAATGACTTGGCTAATTATATTGATTTTATATTATTTTTTATGATTAGACATATTAATTTTATATTTTCTTTTTTATGACTAGACATATGAGGTGGCCATCTTCTTCTACTTTCTTCCTCCTTTTTCTTCTCCCCCGGCCAAACTCTTCTTTCTTCTTCTTTGTTTCTTCACCGGCCAAACTCGTCGGCGCCTCCCCTCGACACTTTCGCTGTCGTTCGCCCAAGATGTTTGCAATCTGAAACGAATGCCCCGTCGTTTGCCCATTCGTTTTAGAACTACCACAAAACCATTCGTTTCAGATCTACACAAGGGACCCTTCGTTTTTCAGATCTACCACAAAGTTTCAGATCTACAAAGCTACCATGAAGCTTTCATTTTTTCAGATCTACGGATCTACAGTGAAGCTTTCATTTTTCAGATCTACCATAAAGGGAGAGCTCCCTTACGTCTCAGATCTGGAACGGGGGAGCTTCTCCTTAATGGGTAGATCTGAAACGAAAGTCGAACGTTCTTGGGCGGTGAGCGGCAATGAAGGCGTCGAGGGAAGGCAAACAGTTGCGGTGGTGAAGAGTCACCGTTGCCGGCTCCGACGAGTTTGGTCGGAGGGGGGAAGAAGGAAGGAAGAAGAAAGAAAAGAAAGAAAAAGAAAAAGAAGGAGATGACCACTCCAATCACAAAATATTAATAAAAATTAATATAACGGGTCAAATCAACAAATTTTAACTGCCACGTCATATTCCTCCGTCAACTAGCTGTCAAAGGAGTTTAGGGACTACTTATATCCCTTTATCAAAATTGAGGGACTGACCAAATAGACACCTAGTTCAAAACAAGTCTCAGACAGATCGTGGAATGTCTATGGCTCGTTTAGTAGGGTTCACTTTTCCTCTTTCTCGTTTTCAATTTTTTCTCGTTTTCAATTTTTTTTTCTATCTTTAAATAGACTTGTATAGTTGACATTGGTCTATCATCTCTGTTGACATTAGTCAATGATAAGTATCATCTCTTAAATCATAAGAGATTATTACAATCTAAACATTACAATTATTTATGTTTCTTATTTTTATAAAGATTTTAAAATTTGTATAGAAATTTTGATGACAAAAAAAAACAAAAAACCATCTTCATTGTTCCAACATAAATAAATATCTTGTTTTACCATTATTGAACAATAAATAAATATCTTGTTTTATCATTATTGAATCAATATAAATCTATGTATATTGGGCCATGTAATTTTACTTTGTAAATAAATAACATTACTAAATAGACCCTACCCTATTAAATCTAAGTTGAAACAAAAAAAAAGTATTAAACTAATATGCATAATTTAAAGTTTAGGAATATAGTACTAACCATTTAAACTATTTGATAAACTATAACCAATACTATTTAGTTTTTTAAGAATCAATGTGATTGTTAGCAATTTTCACTAAAGAAATGACTAAAATTTAAAATTGTTTTAAAAGTAAAAAAGATGTTAAATCTTTTCAAAACATGAGACTTTAATAATATATTTATAATATATATTAGTAAGTAATTAGTTAACGACAAACTAATAAATACCAAAAATTAACCGATTAAAATATATATCTCTTTGAAAATATTAGGTCTCGGGTCTCCTGGATTGAGCGGTGGTTTTGATTTTTGTGAGAACTATTTGAACCTTTTCCCGTTTGCGCACTAAAAGAGCCCATCATTAACCATTATTTAGACATCAGACTTTTTAGTCATAAGAATAAGAATTTAAAAAGTAACTATTTTAAATTTTTAAAAAAGTAACTATTATTATTATTATTATTATTATTATTATTATTTTATTATGCCTGTCCTGACTATTAAGTTTTAGTGTATCACACATTTATATGGCACGTGAGAGTGACTCCCATTCACGTGAATATGTTTATGTTTAGATCCTGTCTTAGAAATGATGCATTTGTTTCTTGCAGTGCACAGAATAGTTACGGGCGCGGGCGCTTAGTTATGAAACGAGGAGACAAGAAGTAAAGGGGCGGCCACATTTGTTTTATTGGTTGCATATATTATTACATATTGTATTACGGCGCTTTATGGAGATAACATTATTTTAAGACTCTTGATTTCACCCGCAACCCCAAAAGATAAACAAACACAGAGCTAGCTAGCCAAACGCGGCCTTATTATTTTTCTCTACTCACCAGCACCAAAACCATTTGGAGCTGCAGATTTTAAAGCCCCTTCGTGTTGTGTTCATTTGCGGCTTCCGGAGAAGGGAGGGAGGAGAAAGCTCTGTTGCCTCCTGGCCTGCTTCAGGTCCTGCGCCTCTCTTGGTGAGATTTGGAACGCCTGCTCCAGCACTTGCTGGGGCAGCCCTCTGAACACCGACGTGTACCCGACCACCGGGCTCTTTCGCGGCTGGTTCGACGTCTTGAACGTGATCCACTCCGCCCCCTTCGGCCCCGCCCTAGCCATGGTCGAGTAGAACTGAGGGATCACAAACATGTTTCCTCTCGACACTCTCTCGTTGAACACTTGTTTCCCCTTGTCATCTGCTATTTGGACCTCCACCTCTCCCTCCACCACGTACACCAACCTGTGGTCTGTCATCGACCAATGCAGGTTGTATCCTGCATTCTGCAGTAGTATACCAGAAGGAATCTTTAAACCTTAAATCCTAAACCTTAAACTAAAAGAAAGCAGTAGAATATAACTATAACTATTACCGGGAAAAGGTGGGCTTTCTCGGCACTGATGCCCAAGAACCTGAGGATAGGGAGCTTGTGTTCGTTGACAATGTTAACTCTACCGGCCTCCCTGGAGTAGAGATCAGACTCTTTGTGAGTGTTCATGTCGTACCTGATTTTGCGGGTGCAGACGGTTTCTTCCACCCCATTTCTGCTGCTGAGTTCTTCCTCCTGCTCATCGGGTCTCAAAAACGACATTTCTTCGTTGCACTTCACGATCAGTCCCTCCCTGCTGCTTCCTTGCTGCATTTTCCTCACCAGATCACGAGGAACCTGGAAAGCCTCCGCCAGCAGCTCAGCGTCGAACCCATTGAAGATGTTCACCAGATACTCCGATCCTCTCCCTTCCTGCCTTCCCTCCCTTGAAGCTCCACCCGCCATGTAAAATGACTGATCCAACACAACCCGTGCGGATATTCAGATTAAAACAAACACAAAACAAACAGAAACAGAAACACAGATCTCCTGCTCTGATTTAAATTAAATACCCTTATTTGGTGGTCGAGCTGGTTGGCCTCGTTGTTGAGGTCCATGAAGGCGACGACGATGAGGTCTTTGTTGCCGTCGTTGTGGAGCCACTCGACGGTACCGGCCGACACGGCGACAATGTGTCCACGGCGGACTCTGTGAACCTTCTGGTGCTGGTCTCTGACCCCGCGGACTGCACGGCCTCTGCGCTTTGCTGGTGTCGTTGAAAATTCCCCTGATTCTGCCTCGTAGATCTCTGGACACCCTGGGTAGTTCAGCCCCACAACCCCTTCACCTGCAATCTCTCATGGTTTAATTAATAATTTTTTTTTTTGTTAATTAGTAGGCAGAGAGATCAAATGCAAAAAGAAAAGAGAGAATTTTAGAAGAACGAACCTTGCTCGACGTAAAAGAGCATGGGGGAGCTATGGAATTTGGGCAAAGAGAGTGAGTTGGGCCTGATGATGATCCTGACGGCACCAACTCCAGCGCACTGAAACTCTTCCTCAGACTCGTCCCACAGCTCAACGACGCCTCCCTCCGACTCGAGCCGGTGCGAGGGCGGCCTGGCGCTGAGCCGATCCAGCCGGCACTGCTGAGCTTCTTCCCTCAGCTGATGCCGCCAGCTCTCAGACGCTTGCCCGCTCACCAGAAACGAACCACATAGAAGAGAAGAGAGCACAATTATGGCCGCTGCAAATTTGGTACCCATTGTTATTCACTAACAAGGAAAACGAGAGAAGATGTGTGAGTGAGGTGATGGTATTGGAAACGGGGGGCCTTCATATATATACACCCCATTTGGGCTCAATCTCTCGACATTCAATCTGGGACGTGGAGATCTGCATGCGATCTTTGTAACACTACACCCACCATTTGTCTTTCTTTTGTCTTTTTATTTTCCCATCACAATTCTGCTGCTGATTTCTGATCCACCCACCACCTGTATGCTCTGCCCTTCTTCTTCTTCTTTGCCAAAGTTGCATGCTAATTGCAAGTATCTGTGTCCTAGTGTAATCATTCTTTTTTCTTTCTTTAACATTTAATATTCTATGGTCTAGAGGGTTTGTTTGTCATATTAATTCGTTCTACCAAGTTTACTCCACTCACAAAACTTTTTGTGCTATTGTATTTAATACTTTTCTAAACTTTTCCTATCATTTGAGCTTTTAAAGCTATTTAATAAGCCCTTAAATTTACGGATAACTATTTTTTACTTTTTATTGTTTAAGTATTGGGCGGGTCAATTTGTGTGCATCTCGACTAGTCTCACTTTATATTGAATTAATTTTTAGGATAACTATTTTTTACTTTTTATTGTTTAAGTATTGGGCGAGCCAATTTGTGTGCATCTCGACTAGTCTCACTTTATATTGAATTAATTTTTAGGTAGACGAATCATCATAGAGATTGAATCAATTTCTTCTAAATCTTTTTGATTTACTATTTAATTTGTTTTTAATTTTTCATTTTTAAAAATTGTGCTTATTTATTCATTATTTTATTTTTCATATTTCACTTTTCATTAAAAAAAAACCATTTGAATTCTTATCTAAAATTAAATAAAAAACTAAAACAAATGAGGTTTGAAAAACTACTTTTTCTTTTTTAGTAATTTATAAAAAAAAATTACTTTTTCTTTTATTTTCAAAATTGGCGTAAATTTTGAAAACAATTAAAAACCTACCTAACAAAATAGAGAAACAAATAAGTAATGATGTTTGTTATTATTATTATTTTTTTCAAGGTACAGAGGGTAAAAATTTTAATATACTTATATGTGCGTATAAAGAATCGATATATAAAATAAAGTACAATTTTGCCATAGAATGAAGACTATAATTAGAAGATCATTAATGCTCCACTATCTTTGCCAAAACGAGCATAGTTCAGTGGTAATTGGCATATGACTCTAGTTGTGAGTTCGAATCCCTTCCCCAACATGTTGTACTAAAAAAAATACTCCACTATCTTTAATCCATTTAACTTAGAGCTAAAAGGAGAAAAACAAAATCCTTGTAGTCAAGCTTTGTTATTAGTTGAATTTTATGTTTGAGCTACCTACGATAATATTTGGTCGGTAGAGGTAAAAATAGGCGAGAGCTCTAGTAGGTAATTTAGGTAACTTTCTCACTTCTAATTTTAGAAATAAATTTCAATAAATAATGTATTGTATTATATAAATCAATTATTAATTTCATTAACATGTTTAAATTAGTTTCAAATTTGTTGAATAATTAATTACCCTTTATTTTTAAATTCTAATTACAAAAAGAAATTGTAAGTAAATAATATATTGTGATATTTTTGGACGATAAATGAAGAATTGAAATTAATAACTGTTGATGCGTGGATTTCGGTCCTCCGGTTCACCTCCTCGCACCTACCAAACTTGTTGATCCGGGACTAGTACCTGCAAAACCAGATGAGCTAAACCGGTGCGACTCTAGTCACACGGGCT